CTTTTCAGCCCGGGCTGAAATTCCGTTTCCATTACAAGGGATTTTTTTCTAATTTTCCAGCCCGTTTGCCCGGGCTGAAAATCCTAGCCCGGTTTGAAAAACCGAGCATGGATTTTCAGCCCGGGCTGAATTGTGGCCCGGGCTGAATCCTTCTCCATGTAATCGCCAATTTGATTTCAAGAGGATTTGCGTCAGAAGCCAGGCTAAAATTTCCGCTTAGCTAACCAGGCTAGAATTTCAGCCCGGGCTGAAATTCGCCATGTAATCAGGCCCTGAGAGTGGACTAATGTTCAGCTCTGTCTCTACCAAAAGTTTTTTGTGGGGGTGTACGGCCTGAACCTTGAAATCTGTACCCTTTTTCAGACCAAATTCTGTGATTTTTCATACCCTATTTCAGATCTGTGAAAAATCGATAATCCATTTCAGACCTCTAAAATTACATATGACCGGAGCTAACCAGAATTGGGTTCCATTTGCGCAAACATTTGAGAATCGCTACAAATTTGTCAATGTTGATGTAGAAAACAACAGTTCCTTGTAAACAAGGTTCCCAATACCAAGCCAGAGTGAAAATAAAACCTATTTCAGACCAAAATGGTCAAACTCTAGACCTTTTTTCAGTTCAGAACTGCTCAAAAATCTCACCCGCAGCCCATACAAAGGAGTACCCTTCCGGGTGCTCTCTCAGTTTATGTTTTGTAGACTCTATGAATGTGACCTTTTGGGCAATTGCTTTCAGTGTGTCTCTTGCTATTTGTTCCAATACAAAGGAGAAGACTGAAAGCTTTGTGTGACAGCCCGTGTCGTCTTTGGCAGTTTGCACCGTAGGAGACGCATAAATTAACGCTGGAGGAGTTGGGCGGAATCGGTTATTTAGACTATCCGTAAAGATGCAAAATTAACCCCGCGGTGCATTGGCTCGAAATCGGTTGTTTGGCGGTTGAGTAATCTCACAAGTCTCAGTGCGAACGGTTGCTATTTCTGGTTTCAAAGGCTTGTAATTGTTTATAAGGGTTTTGTACAGATTTTCAATAGGTTTCATAGCCGTTAGCAGTAAAAACAAAGATTATTACAGTGCATTCGAAGCAAGTCACGTTTCAAGTCAGACAACTAGTCTAGCCTCGATAACCGAAGAAAGGTCAGATAATAACTGCGAAAATGTTGCTTCACTCGCTTCTTGTATATCATCATCATCATCAT